CCATACCTCATGTAGACACAGCCCCGTGTTGCCATGCCTGGGGCAGCGAGGCTGAGATAACCCCCCAGGATAACCTGCCTGGGATAACCACCCAGGGATAGCAAGTCGCTGCAGTTCTCTGTGCTCAGCGAAGCAATGAGTGGAGGCAGGATCTCGGTGAAAACTCTTTGCCCTCTAGAGGCAACGAGCAGCAGTTTCCTGGGGATTTTGCCGTTGAGAGCCTTCCCAGCTGATTGCTGTGCAGGATGGGATTCTGGCTTGAATTTGGAAATGTCTGGAGGAACCAGAGTGTGGTTCATGCTGTGGTTGCCCCAGGCTGGAGGATGTGCTATCTGTGGTCACTTTGCAGTGGGGTCAGTTCCTGAGTCCATCCCAAATAGCAGTGGTTGTGTTTCTGTTGCCTCAAATCCAGCTTACTTTTCCCAGAAGTTCTTACCCCCAACCTGGAGCAAGGAGAAGGCTGCCAGTCTGATTGGCTTTTTTTTTTCCTTGGTGGAAGCAACGGCTTGAATAAACATCAACCCCATTCTCATCAAGGGCAATGTTTCCTGGTGGGTCAAGCTGGCTGTGCTCAGCAGGTTTTGACGTTGCAATGTTGGGCACCCAGAAGGTGCATCCTCCACATCTCACACATCCCATCTTTCCACGTGTGGTCACCGAATGGGAGCTGGAGATTATTTGAGTTTGCTCTGCAGAGCCCCATTAACCAGGTGAACTGCCAGAAGTGCCACAAGGATGCTGGTAGGCAGGAGCTGTTTCTTGTTAGTAGAGCCCTCAAAAACAATGACACCTTTTTGGATGGGAAGGCATTGCCTGGAGCCAATGTTTTGGGCTGTTTGCGTTTGTTTGCAAAGCTTTCATGTGGGAAGGAGAGCGGCCACTGGGGCATGCTGGAGTGTGGAGTCAGTGCTTCCAAAAGAAGTGATTTTTCAAGCTGTCCCTTCATCATAGAATCAGAAGATAAATCCAAGAGGGTCTCTGGTCAGAATAATTTAAAATGATTCCTAAATGATTTAAAATTATTCCTAAGTGACGAAGAGGTCCCCACAGTCCTGACGGGCTGTGCCATCCTGTCACTACCCTTTCTGTGTTTGTGTTCCTGCCTGTGGAGTGCTGGAGCAGGCATCAAGGATGGTAGAGGTTTAAATTGCCTTCAAATGAGCATGAAACTGCTTTTTATGTGTGAATTCTAATGAAGGTTTGGGCTTTCTCTCCAACCGCAGTTTAATGGAAATGAAGCAATTTCACAGCAGCAGGCATTAGGAAACTTTTGTCTTGATAGTTTAATCTGGTGCACTGGGATAACCTCTTTTAATTAAACAAAACTGTAGTTGAGATGCTGCTTATTGGAACTTCTAATTAGCTAGGATTCCTGGTAGAAAGATCAGCTCCTGAGTGGTAACTTAATGCAATCACAAAGTTACAGCTGTCAGAACAGACCAATCTGGTTTAGCCATTTCTGCCTGGCTCACCATAGGTCTGATCTTCCAGACCCTAGCATTCCACCTTCCTTGGGGAAAAGAGGGTGTTAGGTGACTCCTTTTATCAGTTTTAAGGGTGGTCTTTGCTTGGAATCTTACTGATGTAGTCTAGTAAGTAGAATTCCTGCTGGTTTAGCTTCTTTCAAGTGTTGCTAAATCTTTAGCTCTTTAAGCATTGGGGGTGTTGCTGTTAATTCAGTGTTGATTGGTGGTAAAATTGATTTTTGTGATGTTGGTTGTCTGGGCTTTCAAATCACAAGTCAGTTTCTTCTTCCTCCTCTGGAAACACACAGAGTTACTTCTTTCATCTTCCTGCACTTCTCTAGAATTTGTAATCTCAGTCATCAAATCTGTATTGTATGAAAGGACTTGGGATCACTGGATGTTCACTGCTGTTCACTGAAGCCTCATTAAACCGAAAGAGAAAAATTAAAATCTTACCAAGACAGATGTTTTCATTCATTTTAAAAGCTGAAACTGATAGTTTTACCTAATCACAGGACTTCAAATAGTCAGGGGTCTAAAATAAGTTTTGCAGGAGTTGATAATGGCTGCCTTAGGACCAAACAACTGATGGGCATCTATTATCCTCAGCATCTGCCTGCACCTTCTCAAAACATTCCTAGGTTTTCTATGCCTAAATATATCAACCCATTCCTGAAAACCTTAGCCTGAAAGTACGATGTTTTGTTCAGAGAGGCAGCTCCTTGGGCTGCTGGATACATTCTCAGCAGCTGATGTGCCAGAGCCTTGCTCTTAGCTGGATGTAGGAAACAAGAACTCGGGATACAGGTGACATAACAGGTAACCCCTGTCTTTTTTTCCTGCTGCAGGCATTCGTCCTTACAAGTGCGAGGTTTGCAACAAGGCCTTCACACAGCGCTGCTCGCTGGAGTCACACCTGAAGAAGATCCACGGCGTGCAGCAGCAGTACGCCTACAAGCAGAGGAGGGACAAGCTGTACGTGTGCGAGGACTGCGGCTACACAGGCCCCACACAAGAGGACCTGTACCTGCACGTCAGCGGCGTCCACCCCGGCAGCGCCTTCCTGAAGAAAACCTCCAAAAAACTCGCAGCTGTTCTGCAAACCAAACTGAGCCCTGTCCTGCAGAGGAACTCCAAAGAGGACGGCAAGGACGAGTGACGCAGGGGCTCATGGCGCTCGGCAGGAATGAAGTTTACATGTAGGACTATATATATTATTTTTTTAAGAACAATTTTGAAAGAAACACCTGAAATTAAAGGGATACTTTTGTTAACGGGACTTCTCTTGATGTTGGTAAAACCTCAGCCTGACAGAAATATTCCCATTTGTGATGGAAACATCAGACTTTTTTTTATCTGGCCAATAAAAATGGAATTATTGCAAAGGCTGTCACCTCTCAGATGGAGTATTTACTGAAGTGACATTTGGGCAACCTGTTTTCTCTTTCAGCCCTACCACAGGTCTGAACACCCCTGACAAACGAGTTCACCTTTCTCCAGTGTATTTTATAAAGTTAATAACTGTTACCTCCCATGTGAATTACTTGTGAGAGGTTTGGGTGAAAACTGTTGGGTGAGAGTGCTACTGGTACATGGCTCTATGCAACATTAATTAAAGTGCCTTAAGAACAGGAGCGCATTGTATCAGCATATGAGTTAAAATGTGCAAATACCCTTAGCTCTGCTCCCTGTGTAGTCTGCTAACAATTTATGGAAGTGTGATCCAAGGTGAGTTGAAACTCTTCCCAAAGGATGCAGAACATTTTCTTCCCTAAGTTTCTCTACTAGCAAATGACATTTTTCTAGGGCAGACTTTTGGTTGTGTTAAGTATTTGAAGCCATGAACTTACTTTTATCACGTTGATATACAAGTGAAACCTTAGCTCTGATGTTCCTGGACTTGCCGTGCTCACTCTGAGGATTATTACCACATCCTTTTAACATACACCAATAGCACCCCAAAACCCAAAGAAAGCACTGTAATGACTTGAAAATAAGTATTTTTTTATCCTGATGAAATGCAATTTTGTGCATATTTTATGGTGTGTGTGTTTGGGGATTTTTTTTCCTCTTTTATATTCAAATACCTGTTCATTAATACAATGCAGTGGAAAGGGGGATTGAACCTGTGTCTGCTTCAGGAGATCAGTGCAAAACTGCAGGCACCAATCCGGCTGCTCCTCTGTGACCACTATCAGTGTAGAAGGCTCCTCCCACCTAAAATACAAAGTCAGGCTTTGCCAGGACTTTCACAGTCATTGCTGCTAAAGTGAGCCATTTTGAGAAACTCTGCAAGAATTGTAAAATAATCTTTTCAACTTGCTTCAGTTTTGTACAGGTACCTGCTTGGGTTTTTGTGGGGAAAAGATGGTAGGGGTTTTGAAGCATTCCTAAGGATATTAATACTTTATTCAGCACAACTGTTGGTGCTCGACACCTTGAAAACAAGAATAAAGTGATGCTACTGTGTGAAGAACAAACTTACCGTATGTAGCAGGAAAGTCTGTACAATACTTTAATAAATGGGAAGTTGCTGGGGGAAAAAAATATCTGAGGTAAATTAGAAGATCCTGACTTGGCAGAAAGAGCTAAAGTTTGTGCAGTGACCTCCAGGTCTTCTAACTGAGCAGTGTAAAGGGAAGGTTGCTCACTATGCAATGGGATTAATGTTCACCTGACTGCATGGGATTTGTGTGCTCAGCTCTGCTGAGACCTCAGCCCTTCCCCTGGCACAGCAGAGCTGTGGCTGAAACCCTTCCTCTCCAGCTAGAGATATGTTTTATGTGCGTACCTGTGTGCAGGGGTTGGTATTTTAGCCCTCCTGCACCATGTGTTGCTTTTGCTCTCCCTCCAGTATCACTGCGACAGCACATCCCTGCTGACAGAACCACGGGCACAGTGAGGTAGGCACGGAAAGGATTCACAACAAAAGAAAAAAAAAATGAGCAGGTAGCAGGCCACAAGGAAAAACGCATGCTGGGTGGACAGCAGAGCTCTAGGAAGCTAGATGTCAGAGATGAAATAACTGCCCTGCCTGCCCAGCAAGTTTTTCTGCAGAGGATAGACAGTACCTGTAGCAGTGCCCTGGGCACATTAACAGTCTGGCAACTTAACTGAAACTGGTCACAAAGTGTGCTTGGGTTTGTGTGACACTGGTGACAGCCATCTGCCAGTCCTGTTACAGGACAAACCAGCTGGTGCTGCTGCAGAAATGCTCCATAGCTCAGCCAAGGATGCCCAAGGCAGCAGCCAGGCCTTCAGAAGTGCCAGACATGAGTGACTCCCAAAGCTGCTGTCTTTTGAAGGCTGTCTGTCTCCTCCTGGCTCTCCGAGGTACAGACTCAGCTGGGACTTAGGTTTACAAACTAGCTTTGCTGGCAGCCTTCCTCAGGCATGAGGTTCTGGCTGATTTTCTTGAAGCTTAGGGGTTGGTCATAATTTTATTTGTAAGCTGCATTGTAATGATGAAAACTCATACATACAATTCATAGAAGACGAAGACAATGAGGAGAGAAGCTTCACAGAGCAATACTTCCTGACACGATCAAGGTTTATTCTCTGCTTTACAGACTTGATTTTATATGTTTCAAAAGTAAAAGTTCTGTTTCAAAACATTTATTCACAAACTTATTTGGAAAAAACAAAACAAAACAAAAAATCAAATCCAAAGAGAAATCCATAAAAAGCAGCTCCCAAAACCCAACCAGCAGCTCTTCACCCATCAGAAGGCTCAGCTTCAACAGCCACAGGGCTGCTTTGATACAGAAACTCACTCCCATGACACTGGGGATCGTTCCACGGGGTGGGCTCCTTGTTGGCTCAGACCCACAGCAGAGTCAGGAGAGTTCAAGGCAGTGGCAGCACAGAGCTCCCAAGCCAAGGCACAGAACTTGTTTCACAGCTTTTCTGTGGGCTCAGTGCTAAAAAACTTGCAGGAGGAACAACTAGCAGCAGCCGACATTCCCACCTCTCAGAACACTTGCTGGAAATGTCTGTGAGTGTTGGTTCCAATTCTGCTCCTCTCTTGCTGAGCCACTTCTGCTAAGTGGCCACTCTGCCATACTTTTCTAAATAATAGCTAATGAGGACTTTCATTATAACTCTCAGCACAGGTTTTCCAGTTGTAGCTGTAAGAAAAACCACAAACAATAACAAGCGTAATGATGGCATGAGCAAGAACTGACTGAAACTGACTCCACTATATCCATTTCTTTATCATTTGCATTTCTCTCAGCTCATACATTATAGGTGTTGTTTTGCTTTAGTTCACCAACTTCATTTTCAAAGACTCAGTTCTGCAACTTTTTTTTCCCTCAAAAATCACAAAAGAAAGATTATTTGATCAAGCAGTTTGACTTGATAGTAGAAACTTTTCTATCAACCTCAGGCTGTATAAACTGTGTGGGATAAAAAAGAGAGTCTAAATAAGTTTGCTTTTTTCTGCCTGAACTACTGAGGCCACCTATAATATAAGCAAATAGATATTCCCCATTTGAAAGTTACTTGCCTTTTTGGGAGGGGAGAGGGAATCCCTGCTAGCAAGAAATTAGCCAAAGTTAGTAAAAAAAGAATATGAAAGTGGTACATTTAAACAAAGAGTTCTGCCTTTGTCTCTGTGCTCAGACCACTTGCTTGTGCTTAGTCTGGGTCAGTTTTTGTCCATGTACTCCTCCAGGCGCAAGAGCCACTTATTCCAGTACTGAGAGCACAGGTCAGGATCCATGAAATGCCGATGTGCCGGAGAGCCGTTCTTGTAGGCAACCACAATGAGCCCACAGCAAACCTGCAGCACAAACAGGGGGCTGTCACAAATCCAACATTTGTGTGCAACCCTAGGAGCTAAACCTCACTGCAAAACATCTTCCTAATGTACAACATCTCACATAAGAAATAGGGAATAAAAAGGGGCAATAGCTTACTATAAAACACTTGGAGACTTAACATTCAAATGCTCCAAAATTCCCAAGCCCAAAGCTCTGAGTAACTCCAGTGAAAACCAGGGGACATGAGCTCTGAGGATGAGTGATATTTAAGCCTTGCAGATGCCAGGAAAATTGCCGGAGACTGAGGAGTTTTTGCCTGGGACCATACAACCAGACCAATGCCACCCTCCAGCTTCAGTCTGGATAGAAATTGTTACTTAGATATGTTCTGATGTCTTTCATACCCGACAAATCCCAAACAGTCACTGGCGGGGGCGGGGCAGGAAGCTACTAGCAGAACTCCAGCCCATATTTCACTCTGTAAGGACATGTCTGTGGAGTGCTTGTGTTCACTGACCCCTACAGTATTCTAGAAAATCCTTTGCACAGCATACAAATTAACCTGCTCTCTTCTGCTTCATATTTTCCCCCTTCAATATCTGTATTGAGGTAAAAATCCTTCAGGCCAAGCAGGCAGACTAGAATTGCTTTTGGAGTCTTTAAAAACATTATTCCACAGTCTTTTGATGAAGTGATTCCCTGAGGAAACACAGTACAGCTTCCAGACATCAAGTGCATCACTTAGTCCCTCATTTGCTAGTGGAACACAGCAAGACAGGAAGCAGACACGGCCCTCCCATACCATTTTCTTGTTTGCAGGCTCTTTCACTTTATTTCCTCTCCTGCCCCTTTCTACTCTTGACACAAGCAAAAACCACATAGGACAGAGCACAGGGGATTGCCCAGCTGCCAAGTCTCTGGGAGTTTATCTGAGCATCCCTTGGTGCCACTGAACACTTCCTTAAAACTACTGAAAATTCATTACTGGCAGCCAAGGGCAGCAGGATTAGCGAAATCATTTCACAGTATGACATCTTAACCTGATCTCAGACTGGGCTCCTTTGTTACAAATCCTACCAACAGTTCCATGATGGGTAGCAGGTTCTAAAGGCAAGAAGAAATGAAGATAACACAGGCATTGTTGTTTGTCTTGGCATGCAGCAGCCCTACTGACCTGGAAGTCATAATTAGCATCATGATTTATGGCTCCAATATATGCTGCAACCTGTAAGGGGTTGTCATAAGTATTCTGCAGAAATGGCTTTGGCTTCTCTGAAGTTTTCCAGTCGATCACACACAGTCGGCCCCTGCACAGGAGAACAAGATAAGACAATGATTTAAACTTAAGTTTAGCCACAAGTAAGAAATAAGGGATGACAGAGTGCATAAAGACTTTTCACTCTCAGCCTGTTTCCCCCTGATGTCACATTGCTCATTATTATACCCAAACAAGTCTCTTTCACATTGGCAGTTTAGATCCTAAAAACCAAACTAAAACTAACTTACTAAAACTTGCTGCAGTTCCTGGAAGATGCTGACGATTGCTTAAACCTGTCCTTTCTCCAGTAAGGAACTTCCCACAAGGAAGAACAGCACTTCTGCCATCAAGATCATCCAGGAGAGTTCCTCCAGTCTCCAATCCAGGGCGGGATCTGTCCAGCTTCTCCCAACCAGTCAACCACACCCCGGCCTCCACAGCTTCACATTACAGGAGTTTTAGGGAAGGGAACCTCACCGATACTTGGCCACACAGTCGACCAGGCCCAGGTACTGCAGGGTCTCATGGTGAACTCCACTTTCCAGAGCCTTCACATCACTAATGTCTTCCAAGACATGTTCCACGCTGGATAAGTAGCCAGCCACAACATCATCTTCACCCCGGTCCCTAGCTGATGCCTCTTCAGACAGTAATATTGATTCCAAAGCTGAATGGAAGAGCTCTCCTTGGAGAAAAAGATCTAAGAAAAATGGGAAAACCCCCTCACATTTTAGACACTACTTTAGATTTGTATCCTACGTATTCCACAATGTAGCTCTTAAAACAGTCCTGGCTTTTGTACTGAAAATTTGAGGGTGTGGGGAGAAGGGAAAGAAACAGAAAAGAAATTGTCAATAGTGAAATTGGTATCCCTTATATTAAGGCTTGCTTTACTTTTTCAGTCTCACTGATTACTCATACATACACTGGATAAACCAAACAGTTACTGAAAACCTCACTATAAACAGCAGGACACATTGGTTTTTAAACACTTAGGATTATGAGTTCAAAATGCCTATTTCCACCTTGTTACAAAGTAGCTTTGTAACTGCAAAGAGGCTCAGTAAAATCATCAGGAAAATACCAATTTCTAAGTAGATACTTGGCAAATAGAGAACTAAAGCAAAGTCAGGCAGGATTGAGCAAAGTATGTCTATAGAGTCTGACTCCCATTTTCCACAAATATCTAAATCCATTTTAGTACTTCCAGAACAAAGACCAGAGCTTAGGCTTGTTAGTAACAGGTACACTCACAACATGCTCTCATGAAATGGAAACAACTTAATGGATTTCCAAACTACTTGGTCTAATGTACCTGCCAGCAATCCAGACTACTGCTTCTACTGTGCAATCACACTGTGGCTAGACTTACTTTTGGTATACTCCTCAAATCCCTCTTTTCCAAGCTCCTCTATCATTTTCTGCTTCCATCTTTCCAGATAAAAGACTTGCTGTGGAGAGAGGGTTTGTTGAAGGATGCGGGTAACACTGGGCATCTTAGTTCTTTGTAACCCAATTTTCATGGGGATATTTGAATCCCTGCTGAGAGGAAGAATTCTCTTGCTGGGGTTTATTAAAGGAACCCAATTCTTGGGAGTTTTTGTCCCGGCTTTAACTGGAGGTCTGTGTTTAGCTGGTGGCCCATATAACAAACTGTCTTCCTCAAGTATTGTCTCTGGTGTTTGGGCGCTGGTTTTGTAAGATGTAACAGAGTGGACCAAGTTCTTGTATTTTTCTTGGTCAACTTGTTCATAACTGTTTCCTTTTTTCTTTTTGCTATAAACACATACAGAGGAAGATAGACAGGTGTATGGAAATTGCTTTTGGCAAAATGGTATTTGAAAAAGCACTTCCAGGCTCCCCGGTTTCCTGGACAGGATCTGTAGGAATTGCATCTTGACAAGAAGTGTTTGTGAGCAGTTAGAGTTTTCTTCCTTCTGTCAACAACAGTCTGTGGGTTACCATATCTTTTCCTCCTGTGGAAAAAGAAATTTGTAATTTACAGAGTCATAAATCCCTGCCACCATCCTATTCTTGCCCTTTGCCAAACAAAGAATTACTATGGCCAAAGTGTCTTCATTCACCTTGTACCACCTTTATTCTTCAGATAAATAAGAGAAAAAAAAACAACGAGCAAGGAAGAGGAAATGCTCCTGAAAAGAACAGCTGTTGGCCTGCCAAATCTGAAATCTGAAACACTTGAAGATTTGTTGCAAGTAGCTAAAGTTGCATCACAGGACATCCTTACAGGAACATTATCAGAACTGCCATGGAAGATCTGCCACCAACAACCCCCCAAAAGGGGGAGGGGGGAAAAAAAAGCTACACAGAGGACATTGAAGCAAATCCATTGCCGTGAGGTATTGAAACTTTTAAGTTTACAGTGAATGACCAACTAAAGGGGATTGTGGGGACAAAGTACCTTATGGGGTATAAACCCATGTTTTTCTTTTATATGCCTAGGAGAAAACAGACAGCAGCAGTATGTACAATTGTGAGACTTAAACCTAGAAATAGCAAAGAGAAACCAGATGCACTGCAAATATTTCCAGATTGAAAGAATTTTTTTAAAGTTCAGAATAAAATATAAACGTATTTCTCCAAATCATGTTTCAAACATAGTTGTGCTCAAAGGCACTTATGAAATTTAAAAGCAAGAGCAGCAGACAAACAACACCATTCTCAGCACGCCTTTCAGAGCTTCACTGGAAGACCTAGGAAGTTTTTTGCACATGGATAAAATGTAACACTTCCACAGTGGCATTTCCCATGCAGAATTGATGCCCTAGGCTCCTTCCTACTAGAGAAACTGGTTTACCATTTCAAAGCTCCCTCCATACACTGCAAACACAGAACCCCTGTTCCTGACAATGCTCCCACGCTGCTCTCTTCCTTCCCCACGCTACTCACACAGCACTGCCCATACTGCCCGAGCCCTGGGAACAACGGGAAAGAAAACCAGGGTGAGCTCCTTTATGTGGACTGATCCCACAGCTGCAGTGGCCACAGTGTGGGGGTGAGCATCTGTCACACACAACAGTTTCCAAAATGGGGCAGCTGATTAGAACAAGGCACCTAGTAGCAGCAGGCTGAGACCATGGAGTAGGGATCCATAAATATTGTTCTTCATCAATGCAGAAAAATTAATCCCTTCTCTCTTGGGGCTTACCTCTAAATAGAGGTGTCAGAGCTGGAATTTAAAATAAAAGAGGAAAAATATATGCTTATTCTCGTGTAACAGTATCCAAGCTTGCAGAATCTCAAGCTGCTCTTTGATGACTATTACAGGCTCATTAATGGTCATTGTGGACATGCACTAATCAGAATAGAGCAAACGTTGAGCCAGTGGCTCTGGCTTTGTTATATAAAGCTACAGCACAAAAGAAAAAGTTTATTCTGGCTTTGTGCCACTGCAGGAAGCAAGAGGATGCCTGATTCAGCATAAATTTACTTGTAGTAAGCTGCTCCCTCAACACTTTCCAAGGAATAAATTCATACCAGATCAGTGTTTTGAATCAAGGAGCTAATGAAATATGGAATATTACAAGCTCCAGAGTTAAATTTAGTGCAACACAGTGCTTCAGCGATTACTATGAATTTTGAATTAACAATCTATGTTGGGCTGGGGAATATACCTGTGGAATTTCCAATACCTGCAGAAATGTTTGTGCAGCATATAAACCAAATCACTGGGAAAGGGAGAGTTTGCCAGCTGCTGTCCTGTTTTACGAAAGGAAAGAGGTTCTAGGATTGCTAAGAAATAAGGAACCCTTGTGTCCAGCTGAATAAAGAACCATGCGTTTTCCAACAAATCACAGTGGCATTGTGCAGATAACTTACAAGAAAGAAATTGAGTGGTCAGGATCTACTCTTGTACACAAAGAACAGAATTTAATTGAGATTTCCTTCTGTGGAAGTGTCTCACTTCTCTCTGAAAGTGTTTGTGGTTGAGGACTGACAGAATTTATTCAAATGTTGCATGATGAGCCACACTGGAGAACTGAAAAAAATTAAAATAACTTGGAGGTAAAAAAAAAATACAAAACAAGAGGACTTAACTTTCCCAAGCATGTTTGCAGCTCCAACAATAACTGACCTAACACAACTGAGGAAGTTCTTTTCCAGTATAGGAATGAGTGGCTTGACTGAAGGAACAAGGAAGGAATACTTAAGGAAAAGCTCACATATATAAAACCTACCTCCAGCTGTGGCTTCGGATAATAACTGGTATGGCTTTTTCTGGCTTCTTCTCCACAGCCACCTATCCAGCAAAAAAGAAAACACTGACTTATTCCGGAGATAACAAAAAAAGAGCGCTCCTAAACACACCTACAGACCTGTTGCCCCTTGTCCCTAATTTGGAGAACAAATACACTGGTGAAGGTATAACTCTGAGTTCCCTGCAGTTCGCAAAATAGATTATTGAACCTATCCAGGTTAAAAATATACCTCCCTCGTTTGGGATGTTTAGAACACAGAGACAGTTTAGCAACCCCGTTTAAAGCTCAAGCCCACAGAGCTATCCTGAACCAAAGGGTAGCTTCAACAAGCTTCAGTTCCCAGATCAGCAAAATTCCAAGATCAGCACTGGGAGTGGAATTAGTGGGGAATAGAGCTATAACACGGAGTCAGCGTTTTTTTGCGATCTGTGAAAGAGCTGGGCGAACACCAGTGACCATGAAGTGCCCTCAAATAAACTTTCTGCATGGGTACCAAGTCAGAAAAATCCCAGTGCCGGACCGCTCGCCCATGTGCAGAGGGAAATGAAGCACGGGACAAGGGGCCTCGCCGGACGGAGGCATACCCAGCCACGGCAGCCCGGCCATACAGCCAGCTCGCTGATGGACCCAGGGGCAGTGTGGGCCAGTGGACCACCAGCACCAGCCCCTTTTCCCATTCCCTTGGCCTTTCCTCGCCCTCAGGCCCGCCCGGCCCCGCAGCCCTCACGAACCGCGGCACCGCGTTACCTCAGCCGCTCTTCCCGCCACCGCCGCGAGAGCTAGCGCGCAGGCGCGCCCCCCTCACAGCCTCTGCTGACTTATTGCGCATGCGCCGCCCGCCGCCTCATGGGACTTGTAGTTTTTCCGCACTACCAGCCCCCAGCCCTTTCTCTTTCGCTGAAGCGCCCCGAAAGGCGGTGGGAGGGGTGTGCTCGTTCAATCTCCCTCTCTTCTGGTATTTTGTGAAAGACTGTAAGGAAAACAATCTAAATCTTTGAGTGCAAGCCGAAAAATAAAACGTTGTGGTGCCATCTTGGATGAAGGCAAGCAGCGCCCTGCCTTCGCCAAAGATGGCGAGTAGCCCTCAGGGGGTGTGGCGGCGGCGGCTCCGCCCGGGCTATATGAGGAGGAGGTGGCGGGGGAAGGGAAGGAGAAAGGTGCGGAGTGGTTGTCTGTGCCCGGAGGTATGGCTCTGCTCCGTGAGGACGCGCAGGACAAGGTGAGGGTGGCGGCCCTGGTCCGGCTGGGGCGGGCGGTGAGGGCGCAGCCGGCCTGGTCCCGCGACGTGAGAGGGAGCTTCTTGCTCCCTCTGCCCCCGGCAGCACCTGAACAGTGACAGGTTTTTGGGTTTTGCTCCGTTTAGGGGTTGTTTTTTTAAATATGAGTCACCTTAGTCCTCGTGCCTCTGGCGCACTGAGGTTCCCTGAACGCAGGGTGTCAGAGTGCCCGGGGTGAACGCGGGGAGCAGCCCCTGAGGGGAGACGTGCCCAGGGAAAGATAAGGGGATGGGGATGATTAAGGAGTAGGAAGGAAGGGCTGTGCAGCTGCTGTGAGCCAGTGCGGGCTGCACTCTGTGCCGGGGCGGGAGCACAGTGCTAACCGGGGCCCTGGAGCTGCGGGAGCTGGGCCTGGCAGGTGATGCAGGAGCAGGACCTGTCCCCAGGCATTGCGGGCGAAGTGCCGCAGGCGATGGTGCTGTAGGGGGTTACACTTGCTCTTTCCCAGTGGGTCAGCTGCCCTGCGGTGTCTGTCACCGGCCTTCCCGGCTGTGTGCTCTGTGTTAATTAGGCTGTCAGCTGTCACTTCACCTGTGGTGCCCCTTTCCCTTGATTGTCACATTAGCAGCTGTCTTGGTTTTCCTTTCTCCTGAGAAGTGGCTGTAAGTGCTAGGGAGCTTCAGGTCTTCCCTTTAAAGGAACGCGGGGTGTTTCCTAATGTTAAGACTCTCAACTTCTCAGAGGAAATGCAAGTGAAATGCTGAAACAGGAACTTCGTGAATTAATGTTTATGTAGCGTAGACAGTGATTGGAATTATCTCTTCTGCTGTACGAGCTGCTTGGGTTAACCTACCTAAACTCCCTGGTTTAATGACTACACTCAACACACCTTAAAAAGAAGGTAAGCCAGCCCTGTAGGAGTCAGCAAGTTGCCTATTTGCCTTTCATATTGTCACATCTGCATGTGGTTTTGCATTGTGACTAAGCTTCACTGGCAGGAAGATGACTTTGCTTTAAGCTGTTAGATGTGCTAAAAGTCTCTTCAAGCCTGCGTTTTCTCCAGCTTTTTGGAGCATGTATATTAGCTAACTTGAGCGCTAGAAATATACTGGGCTTTATTGACTTCTGGATAACTTCCTTTTCTCTTCTTCTTTCCCATGTGAATCTTGTTTTGAAACAATCCTTCAGTAAGACAGGCAAGAGTTTGTAGAAGAAGCATTTTCTAGTAGTTTGCTTTGAGCTGTGAGCTGCCAGTGCTTTAACTCTTTCCTGCTGCATGTGAAACTCTCTTTATATTAAAGTGTTTGCCATCGGAGAATACTGGAGGGGAAGGTCAAATATCAACTCTCTTGCAGCAGTTGGTAACATTTGAGTGTTTATGTGCCTTTCTAACTCTTGACTGCAATATTGGGGGAAGGAAAAAATGTTCTTGTGGTGGAAGCTGGAGTAGCTTTAAACTCTAATGCTCAGTGGACAAAGATTAGCTTGTTTTAGATTGTAGGGCTGTCTTGGGATTCCAGCAGCATGGAGGAGGGTAGAAATGCTCCTATCTTGTCTGTTCCTGTTTAGGCAAAGAAACAGCAACATGAAACTGGTATGTGACCAGCAGATAAAACTCGTGCCTGTAAAGGAAACTTGATTAGGTATTAAATAGGAGCCACTGTTAAGTATAAACTAAAAACTGAGCCTGAGGTGGCAAAACAGGAGAGGATCAGGATATCAAGAAGAGGAAGGGAGGGTAGCACAAGGGTGATTGGAAGTGCAGTGGAAAATAAAGTGTAAGCTGTCATGAGGGAGGAAAAGGCACTTCAGAATTTGAAGTGAGTGGGGGGACTTCCAGGCTAAGCTTGAGGAAATGCTTTAGTATTTCTTAATGTCAGTGGTTTCATGGTATTTTGAGGTTTCAGTCTGCAGTTAAAATGTTCTAGATCAAAATGCTGAAAGCATGTATTTTAGCCCCTCTTTCTCAAATCAATCAGTGGAAGACAATGTTGTGTCATGGCCTGCGACTTGCTGTTATCATTCACGAATGGTGACTCTGCTGGACAAATTCTGCTGCACATTCTGGAAGGAATGAGACCATACTGGATCTTGCCTGTGCTTAGCAAAAAACCACCTCCTGCATGCTGCTGAGCCTGAAATCAAGCGGGGAGGTGAGCTGCAAACAAGGTGACAGCTCCTGGATAGGGATATGCATTCTCAAGGACATGCACCCTCCAGGAAGCTGGCCCAGCAGTTTGGGCTAGCGGAAGGTGAAGCCAGCATGGTGAGGCTGCCTATTCCAGAGACTCCTTGCCACCAGCGCTGGCCTCATTGTAGGAGGTCAGGAAAGCATTCTCGGGGATGCTGGCACATCGAGGGCTTGCCCTGCATGGCCAAGCTGTGCTTGACCCTTCCAACTGAGAAAGCCGTGGCTTGAGTGGAGGTGTCCTGTGTGCTGCTGGTGGAACAGGGTGAGCCAGAAAGGCTTTTGCTTGGAATGTGGCATCCTTGAATGTTTATAGAGACCTTCCCTCTGTCAGGAGGTGTGTGACCTGCATGTTTCTGCAGAGAGTGCTGCAGAGATCTCTGGCAGGAGAGGGCCAGTTTATTGCACAGCAAGAGGCAACAGGTGCTCTGGGCCTTCTGCTTCCTTGGCAAGCACTGCACTTGCTGAGGAATGCCATTTCAGTGTGACTATGTTGAACTGTCATTCCCTCTTTATCTGTGTTTTAAGCAAAATAATTAAACCTTTACATCACTGGAGTTCTCCAGTTTGAAGTCACAAATTTGGGGAAGCATTTTTCATAGCATAAGTAAGCGCTGGTTCAGTTTTCCTGGCTGTGTGTAACCAGACTACTTCAGAACTGTTCAGCTCAGTGCCAGAGTGGTGACAGCAAACCTGCCACAAAGGCTGCAAAATCCTAGCTTCACTTGTGGTCTGTAGTGCTGCATGCCTGCAGTGCACTTTCAGATGTCCTTTAAGTATCTTGATTAAAAGGAAACTTAAGCTGCTTGTGCTGAATTCGACTAAAACGTAGTTCCAGCAGCTAATGCTGCTGCTATCTGCTGGCCAGATCCTCTGGTGGTTAACTCCTGTGTGTCAAAACAAGGCTTTCTGGAACTGAGGGCTCTGTATAAACTGCCAGAAAACATCACGATCTTTTAGTGCTCTCTGGAGAGCACCTAAACAGCTTTAATTAGAAAGCTTGCTCTGTAAAAAGCAGAGAAGTAAAAAGTCTTGTTTATGGGCTGTTGCTTGAATGACAGGAGGTGATCAGTAAGGGGAGAAAATTTTTAAAAGGTAGCTGACAATAAGCAGAAACCTTTGACATGTGAGCAGTTGTGGAAAGGCTCCTTGCTCCTTCCAAGAGCCTGGCTCTTTGGAAAACCCCTGGATTAATCTGTCTTTGAGAACAAATACGTGGTTCACTAGCAGTCAGAAGTTCTACACAGTTGCTTGCACTGGCAGATTCTTTTGTTAGAATGCAGAAGTGACACCAAGTCATCCAGAGCTGATGCTAAAACTGCAAAGGGTGGTACTGTAAAAGCAGCAGCTCAGGCCTCTCCCCAGAACTAAGAGACTTCAGTGGCTGAGGGCATTTCCTCCCACTGGGTGTCTGCAGGCATCAAAACGTGTTTCTATTTGGGTGAGGCCTGATCAGAAAAGTAATGTCTGTCAGGCAGAAGTCTGGGTAGCTGATGGTCATCACTGCCTTCTATTTAAGTGATCCAACTTCATCTCTAAAAAATGGAAAAAAAAGCACATGTCCTAAAATTCTACCTGGATTTGGCACAGTAATGATCTCTGCTGTTTCCTAGGCTTCTAGATCAGATGTTCATCATGGGGTCCT